AGACACTTATTATTGGAAACGCTTTGTCTCATTCCCCTTGTATTTTTTTCAAGACTTAATTTTTCTCTTGTTTTCCGCTCACCTCTTGGATTTTCTTGTTTTCACGTCTTTCGTCTTTTAGCCACGTGAGAAGCGTCCTGTATTTGCTCCTGGCTTTTCCAACATCTTTGGCATACTCGAGGTATATCCTTCTTGTGTTAGGGTACAAATCATATTGTATATCTGGTAGAGTATTAACAGATAAATATTCTTGTATAATCACCTCCAGACACTGCACCCGTAAACTGTCTATCATGAAGATAATTGCTTGTTCTAGTAACATACAAGCATTGGTACCATTTACTTTATCAAGCAGGTACTCCTCACAAGCAGAAGTTAAAACTTCTATCCAATACTTTCTTGCCACGTTGAACAATGGACCCGCGTTGTCTTCAGTCAATACGATTTTGTCAGTGTACATGTACCTTTGGAATAAAACACAACATTGATTTACTCCCAATTCCCATTATTTCATTCACTGTATAAAGGTGATTTCTATGTTAAGAATTTAATTGCACATACTTGTACATAAAAAACATTAAATCCATGGGCACTTTTCTTTGTTAAAAGTCATTAAAACACTTTATCAAATGTTACATGTTTACGATATTGCAATTTTAACACTTTCAAGAAAGTTAAATATTGAAATACATATTTGGTAGGTTGAATGGGAAAATGTTATACCTACATGATTTGATTTTGCAGGAAGATGAAGATTATAAGGAAGATTTCGGTCGTTAGACTGATCACGTTGGGAAATTGTTGTACGATTTGTTCTCATTTTTGTTTGTTATATAACAATTACTTTACATTGTCAAGATTCCACATCGCCTCCCCCCCTCCCCAACAACCCCTCTGAACACCTTTGTGTATTCTCATTTCAGTAGTTTTCGTTTAAGTCTTTATTTTGTCCATGCTATATCACAGTGTATCATATTCGAGTTTTATTAAAACTCAGTTGACAATTGTAAGATTTTCTTTCTTGTTTCTGTAATATCCTCCAGATAATACAGATGTATGGAACATATCTATAATATTAGTTACATATAGAACAGAAAGACTGACAAAAACATAATGGTCGATATTCGTGTTGTGATAAATGCAGTTTTCTTGGAAATTATAAATTATTTAAGTTGGATTTATATACCTCAGAAAAAGCAGAAAGATTTCTGGAGTGATATCAGAAATAATCACTTCGTCTTTCTCTGCGAGTAAACCCTCGAACATTACGAAGAAAACTGGACTCCGGCAGCAAAGAAGCATTTTATGGGCGTGCAGTCTTGTACGGTTTTTACCGACAAGAAATGTGACGTCACTTCCGAAACCGGAGGTATGGAGGTAATCCAAACACTCCATCATAGTTTTCCCACCAGCCCACAGAGACGATTGGCTACAAGACGCCATTTTCCATGGGACCTTACGTTACCCTGTGAATGACAAGAGTGCATTATAAACCTCATCATATGGAACATAGAGATTGCTGTTTTTGTTTGGGATTCGTTTAATTGTTTTGAAATGATCGGATATACGCTTAAAAATAAATTTACATTGTACGGATAAAGGCAGTACATTGTCAGGTCGGAACCAATATCTCACATAACAGTTGAATAGACATACAAATGTACAGTATCTTAAGATACAAATTTGGATACAATACAGTCAGATAGAACTCGTCAGTAAATGTAAAACAATGAAAACAGCCAGGAGAGAGAGAGAGAGAGAGAGAGAGAGAGAGAGAGAGAGAGAGAGAGAGAGAGAGAGAGAGAGAGAGAGAGAGAGAGAGAGGGATGGGTGGGGGAGGGTGAGGGGGTGAGGAAGGGGTGGCGAGGGAGGGAAGACACTTGAAACAAATGCAGTTTTTACACCAATATCATATCATATATTATTCATAAATTATTTTATCCATTTATATTCTAATGAATGTTTACTTTCTACCACTTCATCCACAACATGCATGGAAACAAAACATTAGAATTTGGGTAGAGGCCATGCATCTTTCAAGCATCAAATCCGTATTTATCAACAAGCATCTTATATTTTTTTCCTATATTTCTTTTAACTTTTAAGAAGACTTTATGATTTTTTTTGGTAAAAACAAAACCGCGATAATGTTCTCTAGCTTATAGTACAGGGTTTTAATACCCTAACTAATATTACTTTCAAATTCCTCGCTACGAATGTCAATTTGATCAGACTTTGACAATAAGCCATCTTTCTTGTAGATGAATTCGAGAAACCTTATCTGTAAAAATGCCATATTACTTATATCTTTACGACTTTTGCAATTTTACAAATACGTCCATTACAGCCCAGTGTTCCCATTACAGCCCATACAAATATTTTGCGATATTGTTCCTGGATCCATCGATGATAACAGGGGTTGAAAACATAGAAAATGAGAAGATGAAACAGTATAGAAAATTGACACTGACATCTTAAGACAGTCATTAAAATATGTCTAATATTAAATGACAATTAATGATAAGTGTGACTAGAGACCAAATGGTGAATATCTCCATGGTGAACCGTTTTCATAGCTAGGTTACCTGTTTACATGTACCGTCGTTTGGAATATCTCGTTGATAATTCGAGGGACACAAATATTTCTTGAGCCGGTGGATACCTAGTCAGGTTAATAGTATGATTTCACAGTAACATTTCGTTGACCTCATGTTTATCATTTAAAATGTGAAATATTCGATTTCAATATTCCTTTCGTATCTATGAAATCCCGAGATTAATATAAAGCACAGTGACGACAAATATCTAGTTCGACGATGAAGTTAAGACAAGAATAATCACTACCCCCTCAACCCCACTCCCTCCCCAATGATTCGAGATTCCTTTCGTATTTATGACATCAGGAATTATAAGTGAACAGCGTATAAACTGTGTTCACCCAATATTTCACTTGAATCAATGACTCGGTCAGCGACTGAGATCCGGATTCCCGGTTCTATATTTAGAAAAATAGCATATCAAGTAAAAACGACATTACTTGTATTTGAAATATTTAAATTAACAGGATAAAACCGATTATTTGAGACGCAGTTACCTGTCATATTTACTGAGGTACCATCTATCAGGTAGATAGTTTGTGTCCCTGTACAAATAAACACGTCCACCGAACGGAAAGTGTAATGCTGGTATTCCAATTTATGATAAATTTAGACCTAAAAAAGGACCTCTTTTGTTAGACATGAATAGATCCCTGTGACGTGGTCCGTGGTTCCATTGACAGATTTGTATGAATGCAGCTAGGTCATCTGTGGTGTATTTCAGTGTGAAAATGTATACATTGACATAAGTGTGTTCAATATACACACAACTATATATATTTTTAAGACACAAACCTGACTAATTTGTAGCGAAAAAAACGATAATAATTCTCCGGATAAAACTACAATAACACTACTAACTTAAATATATCATGATTTTAAATGATTTATAATGAAGTTTGTACAATCATATCCTATATCGACAATTCAACAGTTGAACAGCAGATGGTGTTCTGCGCGATGATTCACTAACACTGAAATGGAGTGATTGTCTATAGAGGGCACGTGTTCTTGATATTTATATTCGAAACATCGTAATAATGGTAATATTGAACAATATGTTATAACGTATTCTATATTACTCTATAATATTCCCACTTCTTCGTTCGTCAATAAGAAATGCACAAGAAAGGGACACAGCTGCCGATGCGGAATCAATCATTTATTACAATTTACTTTGAAACTTTCACCACACTTTAATTTTCGCTGATTTCACCTTTTTTCCTGCCACCGGCCCTGTTCAATACTGTAAGTTATGCAATACCATCGAAATGGATGTAAAGGGTGTCGGAAGCTGAGGAACATAAAGGGTTTTCGCCCTAAATCATCATATTATTTTGGCTTAACTTTTAAGGGCGAAGACCCTTTATGTTCCTCATTTTCCAACACTCTTTCTATTTATATGGTATTACAATGACTTGAAGTATTGAACATAGACTTTTAGCTTACCCTACAAGTACACATTTATACCTATATTGTCTAAACTATAAATACATCAGCTGGAAAACCCTAATACCTCTCTTTCCTTTTGAGTTAAATGCGTTCTTCCTTTGATATTGTTTACTGGCAAAATCCTAAGTGTTTTCTACATTTGTTCATACTGTTTTCTACCTTATTGTTCATAAGGTTATCGTGCATGTGTACTGCGGTTAAAATTGGTCAATTATTCACCATATCATACATCAGTGTTTTTACTCTTTATTCTGGTCATATGTCAGATGAAGGCGACTCTAGTCAATGAAACATCACAAAAATTAATCTTTCACTGGTTGCGTTATAAGACATTCTATTCTATTGACATTTCCACCCGGACGAAAATGAACCAAATCACTGCCTTATTATTTCAAAATATAACATTGTTCAATGAATATTTCTTTTCGATTTCCTTCTTTTCAATCGGCCTGAAACGCATTGTTTTGTGTTTTGTTTTTGAAATTTTTTTTTAAAGTTTTTGTTTGAATACGTTTGCTATGATGTAATCAAAAGTGACAAACATCATGATTTTGAACAAATGAAACGAAATATCATTCTTGAAACGTAAAATATTTTGTTATCAACTTGAAAAAGAACAACAATATTTCGGTGAAATGAAGCATCATTTGCAAATAAACTAGATATTATTTCGAGAAATCGAAATTCCGATCAGACCAGAGTATCAGAGTATGTGGGATGTTGTTGTTTTTATGTTGTTCAAATAAACGGACTCAATATCAAGTTTTTAACTAATAACTATAGACATATTTTCAAAATATCATTTATTTGCTTTTAAGAGACTCAAATTGAAGGTCGTTGAATACCCCGAAGGACGATGAGTTGGCATCAGCTACAACGCAAGTTAACTCCAATAAATTTATCATGATTGGGTTTCGATAGCAACATTCCCGCAAATGATGCTTAGTGATATTACTCTGCCAGCCACACCCCCGCAAATGTTGTATGATGAGGATGAAGTTCTCCAGGTGCTGCGTAGAATGCCATCCACACCTTGTCACCTTCTTCCAGACGAACTAGATCCTGATTTCCGGCGTTGTCGTAATATGAGCTACTACTTCCGCTAATTGACCATCTACTGATGACGCCGTTGATCCTCAGACTGACGCTGGCACTACCTCCAGTATCTGTCATAACGTTCCACATGAATAAATATAGACCGGCACGTGGGCACGTGAATGTACTTGTCGCATTTTCATACGCTGAGCCTTCGTTAGTGGTTATGACGTCATAAGGAATTTTGTGGTTGACGGCGATATTAGACATAAAATGACTCAGATAAACAGAAAACGCTACTGGACTGTTGTTACCTGTAACTGTTGAAACAAGGAGAGAACATGTCAATGAATTACCAGGTTAAATAAGTGTCTTTCCAAAAGCACACAAGAATTCATTTTTATAGATAAACAATTTATCTAATGGACCGATGCCTGCTCATATTTGTAAATCATATTTTTATATCACCACGTTGAAATGTAAAATCATCTTTAAAAGACCTATGTACGGAAAGAGGGTTAAAGACTTCTGTCTTTTGGATATCGCGTTTAGCTGCTTCAGAAAAAAAGTAATATCAGCATATCAGCATAAGAATCAAACTAGGGCAAACTATAAACAAAAGAAAGATTTGTTCCGGAAGGAAAAGCGGTTTCTGCGCCATCGTCCACACCCGTCATGTAAATCTTGGTCAATCAAAGTAGGTTATGTCCCATTTACAAATATGGATAATGTATACAACAACGGAATCAACAGGCAAACTATCGAGCATCAAACACGTCCTGGCACGTGTATGCTTTTATAATATCTAAGGAGTTAAGGAAGAAGGGATCTCAATTATTCATGGTGTCATTTTGGTAATGTCCTGATGCTTCCATCAAATCCTTTCAAAAAGTATTACAGGCATCGGTTCCATTTACAGCTCGATGTAACATAAAATCAGCACAAACGTATTTTGCTGGTTTATAACATTTGGGGTAAGCAGTTTAATTGTTCCTCTTACTCGTCTCGATGTCACAGAGTTTCCTTTATACGGTCAATTCACCATTTTTTGTAAGATTTTAATTGTTTTTCGTTAATTTCGTGGGTTATTTGATCAGCCAACAAACACTTATTGTAATATGGTAAAGAGTTTAGATTATATATAATATAAATATTTACATATAGATAATACTAATCGAAAATATCAATATTAAAAAATCAAAAACATTGACTACAGTTGTTGACAGCACGAATATAGATATATATATCTATATTGTCTGTATGATGATGACAACTGTAATTTAACCTATGTATTGATTCGGTTGACTTACTGTCTGATTTACTCAGATATTACATGTTAGATATAAATAAATGTTTAGATAAGCGATCATATTCGATGTTACAAACAAATACGATACGCGAATCCATAAAACTGCTGTAAATATGCATGGATGTGTGTAACTAATTTTCCGCGCGGAGTCATCATTTTTGCTTACGTCATCAGGCATTATTCCGCGTATCCTAAACATTAGTTAAGTGATTATTAAAGTTTCAAATTTCAGAGTTTTCAATAAAAGTTGAAGTATAGATAAAATATATAGTCATTATCTTAAAATACAAACTGCACTGTGTATCGTGACAAAATTAGAGGCAAAGGGCTCGATATTTTTGGTCTTTCTTCACCCTCACCATCATATCTTACATTTTCAGACACTGACTACAAATTGTATACCTAGTTAAGGACATATCTCCTTAGTAAATCAAAGATTCTACATGACGAACATAACTGAAATTCTACAATACAAGTAAATAAACACTTCTAAAACCCTATTGTAAAACCCATGCATTTTCGTTCGTGTTTTAATTTTGTGGTGTTCCGAAAAATATACACTTCACCTGGCACTTAATTCAGTGGAAAAACTGTACTCACAAAAGTGCTATAATCCAGGTCAAAATGTATAAGTGTATCATTTCGTGGATATATAAATTCGTGGATTTAGAGGAAACAGGAAAATAAATTCCCACTGAAAATGAATAATTACAGTATAGCAAGTTGATTACAGTTAAGATATTAAACATTATAGGATTAGAAACTTTCTGGGAATGGTCCTATATTTTAAAGGATTAATTTACATGTGTGTGTTCTATGTCGACATACTTACGTTATTATATCCGACTTACCTCGCCTGTGTATCTTCTCAGTCTGGTCACATTTCTGTCGCTCCAGATTCGATATCTGGTATTGCTGTTCCTTCACGGTTTCTTCCAGCCTGCTTAATCGTTGTATTAAAACTTCTATTGTCCCATGCTCCTCGCTAGAGACTAACGAGGTAAGTAGAAACAGAATTAATATAGAGACCATGCTGGACAACTTATGTTTAACAGTAGATCAAACACATGTGATTCTGGTATTGTTATCAGCACTGATAAGGACCGCCAAGATGTTCACGTGGCCTATATATATATTTCGATGTTTGCTAGCAGTCAGGATCATGTTTATTCCGACTAATCAAAATCTAATTTGGATACAGCGATCTCATATGAGCAGAGGAGTGTTCTACTTCATCGACGACATCCGCCATGTTAATTCTGTTCAATTGAAGTAATCAATATCATTTTTAAAGATAACCTTTACAACAATGTAACCCATACAGAAATATTAGCGATCATCGACGTTACATCGACCTTGAAATTAACTAGAATATTCTCTAATGAAATTGAAGTGGCGATCAAAGTACATGGGCCTCCTCCCGTAATGTGATTGTAATGGTTTGTTGTTTCGTAACGGAGTTATCTGCTCTTGTCGGCAGGTACAATGCATTAATCGTTACGTCATTACTTTGTGTGATAAACTTATATCGTTTTCTTATGACGTAACTATCAATACTTGTTTCCAGTAGCACAGAACACTTAATTACGAACATCTGGATGGGTTATATTACTGATATGATATTGAATGATATTGTCCTCTTGTTGTACATCCTCACAGGTAACAAAGACAAAAACGGTAATATATCAACACAGCCGATCTTTATTCAATCGTTTGGATTAAATCTAAAAAGTTATAAGCAGTTTCTACGCTTAGTATTGAATATTGTATTATATTGTAATATTTATTTGATTTTATTTGTTTATCATATACACTACAGGAAATAAAAATACTTATCAATTTTAGAGAAATCAAAAAGATGAGGTCAACTTTTAAATCTAAAGATTAATTATAGTGAATTAAAAGTCATATTTCAACGGTAGTTAATTTCACAATCTAAACGAAATCGTCAATACGTTAATGATATTATTTATATGTCCATCAGATATTGTTCAATATATTAGAAAAATCCCTTTGCATACTGTGGGAGCTTGATATTCAGAAATGCTTAATATATTCTTGAGACTCTATAGGATTTCTGTCAAAGAATCCATCCTCCTCTTTGTAAAAATTAAATAATATGTTGATGATTGTATTTCTTACTCTTTAGGTCAAGGTCAATACTTTGTTGATTATGATATAACGGAATACTACACAACACATGTGGACACTGAAGTTGTGAAATACAAAAGAGACTATTGTTTTGTGTACAAGAATAAATACAGAAGACTTTCACTTCACTCTGTGCCTCAAAAAAAAAGAATTAAAACTTTTCTTAAAAGTTTATATTTTGTGTATATATATAAACACTCTTTCTCTCTCCTTTTTTAATAGCGAGGAAGTGCAATAACGGGCGATACCCTTGAAAACACACACTGTCAATGTTTCCTTGGTCCTTGTGATCTGAGTCCATGAAATGACAATTGATAATACCGACCATATCACCACCTAATATCAACGCTGCAACCTTACTTCTCAAAGCCGTGAGTTTGAGGGTGATCAGGTCTGTGAGTGTACGCCATAATTGATGGTATTGTGTCTTGCATTTGAAGTAAGGGAGTACTGGATTACATTGATAGATTGTTGCTTTATACGGTATCTTAACCTAGTTGTCTTTCATTCATTCTTAAACTTTGTCCAGGGGTTAATTTTCTCATGATTTCCTCAATAACTTTGCTAGGCTGCATACTCAGCTGTTTACTAGGCGGTGGAGGATGCATGAAAGACGAACCACCAACTTTGTCAATGGGTCTATCATGCGAAATTTGCCTCATTGCCACCGGTGACTGTTCTGATATTGATGTCTGACCGGATGTAATTTGAACGTGTTTGGATGACGTCATTGACCTTTGTCTGGATGGCGATCCAACTGTATTGCCAACTAGTGGCATGGCTATTGTTCGATTTCCGGTTTCATACTGCAGATCAGTGTCCACAAAATCAAGACCGGAAATGATCTGTCTGCCGTCCGACAAGACACCTCCTTTTCCTGGTCTTATTTGGCTCAGAGGAATTCCAACCGTCCTTCCTGCATCGATTATGTCTTGTCCACCGAAGGAAAGTTGTCCATTATTATGGAAATTCGGTTCAATGTTCGCACCTTGTTCCCCATGCTTTTCCCCACTATTTTTAAAAGAGATGCTTCCACGTGGTAAGATCATATCTGGTTTGAGATAGATTTCATTCATCGGTGAGGTATTTCCTTGAATTCCTTTCTTCGAGGAAAATCCAGCAGATGGTTTAGTCCCTTGCTGATTTTGAAATCCTGTATTTGCCGAAAGATCGTTTGGGGCTAATGTAGAATAAACGCCCGGAGTCGGATTCCTTGGGGTAATTAAACTCTCCGTAGTCGTTACACTGGGCTTAATGTTTGAGGGACCGGTAAACATATTAGTGCGATACGCAGATTTATTTTGCGCAGAAAAATTAGTGGGCCTGATAACTACTTCCGCTTTAGGACTTGCTCTGTACGTCTGCATTATTGCTGCTCGAGCATTGACGTCGTTCTTACGGCTATCAGTCTTAACTGTATTTCCACCCTCTCCTGTTATTTCAGCTGGATTGAATGTAGGGATCGGAATACCTTCACTATTTCCGGTCTTGTCGGTCATATGACCAGTTAAAATCCAGTTAAGATTTTCTGTCCCTGAACTGTTTTTAAGAAGATCTGTTATGTTTTGCATTAGAATGTCCAGGTCGTTTTCATTTCTTACAAATGTGTTATCTCCCTTTCGTTCAGTTACCATAGCATTTGGTCCGTAGTTAGAATCAGTTGATGTGATTAAATCAAATGGACTGTTCGTGATAGTAGAGGTGGTGCTGGTCTTGAAATCGGGTATTATTCCTTTTGGTGTTGTTTCCATATTTATATTGGTAGTTGGATAGATTTCAGGGCTTATAAGCTGGACTTCAGCAACACTTGTTGAGAGAGGAGTCTCTGTATGATTAGCAGGTCCATTGGTCTCTTCTGATATATTAATGAATGGGATGGTTGTACTGTTTATCAGTTCATCATGTAGACCAGCGGTATGTACGTCCTCCAATTGAGTTGTCGATTCCTCGTGTGCTATGGAATCGTTCTTTGAATAGTTCCAGGCAGAAACACTGTTATTTGATGATTCAAATACTGCAATGTCAGTATCGTTCGTTGGAATCGACTTTAAACTGCCCATCTCAGCATCCCAAACAGAACTAGCTGTTTTAGAGATAAATGGAAGCATGGATGTTGTGATATATTGTTTCGGTGCCGTCATTGGCTTGGGTGTGGTGATATCCTTCAAAATATGGGGCATGTTTTCAGTATTAATAGCGAATTCGTCTATTGGAGACTTAAATTTGGGTCTCAGTGTAGACATGTACTCGGTAGCTCTGACGTCAGTTGTTTCCATGGTGACTGTGGTGACATCTACTGGCTGGTTTATTGCATCTGCCCCTGGACCGACAACCGTTGTCGTTGATAAAGGACTACTGTGTTTGATATCGGTATATGATGTAGACGGAGGAGACGAAGAAATAGTTCCCTTCTCCATATTCAGAAAATCCTGCGCAAAAATCGGTATGCCGGGTGGTCCAATCCTCTGCTTAAACGCTGCATCTGACGTTTGTTCTGGTATGGAAGATTCTGTTGTGGATAATCCTAAGGTTTGCTGTTTACCACTTCCTACACCAGTCGTAGTGGAATAAAGATTGAACAACGTTCCAGTTGTTGCTTGTTCTTTCTTTGACGGAGGGGAAGTGTTAGGGATCTGATTTACTTCATTCTGATCTACTGTTTGATCAACAGTATTGCTTCCTGAAACATTTGTCACAGCCCAGTATGTCTTAGATGTTTTATCTCCTGGAGTATTCTGGACACGCTGATTCCATGACAACGAATTCTCATTCGTGACCACAGAATTTTCCCATGGAAAGTTAGTGGAAGGTTTGTTATTATAGTCAGTCCTAAGAAAAGCGTCAGATATAGGAATGCCTTGGACTAAAGGAGTATCGGGCTTTTTACCAACAGTCAGACTTTCATCAGGACCCACCCAAGGAATGGATAAATTTGGACGTGTTTCCGTGTCGTTAGCCATGTTTGTTTGATTGGAAATGTTTGTGTCCATAACCGATTTATTTCTGCGATCTTCTGACTCTCCTATCTCAACGGCAGTATTGTTTGTCTGATCAGTACTGTTCCCAATCTCGTATGTAACATTCGGGTAGAAATCACTCCCGTTAAGAGTCGTTATGTTATGGACTGGAATCGGAGTCGCCGTAACGTTTGGCAGATTCAACACAGGTATAGCACCAGACACAAGAACTGATTTAGTGTCGGAATGCTTTTTATGATTCTTATGGCGTTTCGGCTTTCCCATTTCGCTTGCAACAAGGAGCAGGTCTTGTAACCAAGATGGAGTAGAAAGTCCATTTTCCGAATCCCAGGAAGCCTGTGTAGTCATCTCCGGACCGGAGATCCATTTATTAGTTTTTGTGTCATTTACTTCAGGAATCACAGTCGTAGTTCCATTTTTATCAGCAGTCACGTTCCGGGTCCCGTTAGATGTAAGAATTGCTATGTCAGCACAATTGTAATACTCTTCTTGATCGCCACAGCCAATTCCTCCGTAACCGTCATCACACATTCCCCAGTAGTGGGCTACAAAGAAACGAAGATCGTTTAAGTCGAGAAAGGCTGTAGAAAAAAGATAAATTATAAGCACTTGTCAATATTTAGAATAGGATGCAGGACAGATCGTTCTTTTTGTTGTTTTGTTTTCCTTCTAAGCCTAGTCAATGATGCTAGGGGCCAAACGTTTGAGGAAAATGAAAGACCAATCGAAAAGGGTACCAAAATGTCCAATCCAAGTGTAACCATGGCCTAAGAGAGTCTATTGTCAATTTCTCACGATAGTGTATATCTTAAGTGAAAGAACAAATTGACAAAAAGTAGAAATAATAATAATTCATATCACTTTACGCAGTCGAATTGATCATCACGTATATAATATATAGATATGATATATCTGCGACGCTTAAATCAAAGTTTACTTATGTCTTTTCAAACATATTATAATTCCAGACTGCACACAAGTACTAGATTGGTACTTCACTAATAGTGTGCCACATACATCAAACTAGGAAATGTAAGGGAGATAATCAACATATTTAAAAGAAGATGGATTATAAAAATATATGTATTCTTTATGAAATATTAATGCAATAAAATAATGAATAAAAAATCTGTTGAAAACTGTTTTTAGTGAGATTGTAATTTAACCTTTGATAGTTCTACAAATACAGCTCGACATTAAGGCATGTTTGAAACTCTTTGATAATTCGGAAATGTCACCTTAATATTGACAAATTGTTTTAAGATTAACTGTAACAATTTTTCATGTTTTCAAAATGGAGTATACTTCAGGAAAACCACGAAGTGTACACTCTGTTTTTTATGTTCCGGAATAATAATATAAAAATAGTGTGGTCCTTTTCAATATTTTCAATATTTTTCAATTTTTCATCTTGCACTGCCGCGTTGCCAAATCAGATATGACGTTTTATGTGTATTTGTTTGTTATGTAGTGATAAGTACATCTATATATCGTTATCTATACTTACATCCTTTCCATTTCCACTGCAGGACACACTGAGTACAGACGAGGTCTTCAGGAATCTTAAGTTGAAGATCATACACAGTATCCCTTTCCACGTAAAACCTGTGTCCATACCCGTTGATGACAAGATGGTGTTTGTCCAGGCATTCCTGTGTTATTTTCTTATGTATGTCATTATTAGGACAGAGTCTAAACTCAAAGTAGCCACCAATATTTGCTTTGATGTCGACTGTAACATTGATTAGTTTATTTTTGTCGTGGTAATACGTCCTTGCAATGTAACCTTGAGCAAACCTTCCTCCTGCCTCGTTAGGTCTGTCTTTGTTGTCGAACGCGTCACCACATAGCCCACATCTGTGTTGATTAACTTCATGCAGTTTCTGAAAAATGTCACACTTGAATGAGACAGAACTTTGTTTTCATATGACAATTACTTTTTGAATTTAGAGAAAAGCGCATAAATGACCTGAATCTAAATACGTGTATGCCATCAAGTCAGTTTAATATTTGCCAAATTAACCCTAGTTATAAAGTCACAGAAATAAGAGAGTATGTATTTTATATTTTTTAGAATTATCCCGAACAATTCAGAATAAAAGGACATATTTTTCGGTTTTTCTGCTTGTCTTGGTTTTCTCTATGTAATATCCTTCAAATCTGTATAAGACTATAATGATAATATGCAGTGTATGGGAAAATGTTCATCATATTTGAATTTCAGCCATTTTGCGGCATAAGGTGAAAATAAAACGACGACTACAGCTCAAAGACAAAACTCAAATTTACATTCATATATAGAAAGATATCCCATTTATCATACCAAAAATTATAGATGATAGATATGTACAAATTACATAAAAAAATAAATGGCGGATTAAGTGTTTTTTACACATAACCTGTCCGATAAGGAATTGCATAAAATAATTCATTCTTCAAAGCATTGATGTATATCCGAAACCCGTAATGAGCTATCCGTTCCAATTTTTATATGCTTTGATATGCTGTGAAACAGATTCAATAGTATTGTCGAAAGATGATGGAATGCTTAAATATCGTTTTTAAAATTTAAAACTGGAAAAAAAAAGTCATACATGTATAGAAAATTCAATGCTTACGGGGCCGGAACAAAAAAAAACGGTAATTGATATATCTTACAGAAATTATTAAAATATACACACATGCAAAAATTTTATATAAATTTTTTAACATATGTTCTACTGTACCCAGTATCCTCCACAATTAAGTCCTCCGTCATCTGTATTGGTGGCTACCATCGGTTTGCCGTACCATTCCTCGTGTCTCCAGAGGCTGGAACGTTGAGGCGGTTCAACCATTTTTCCTCGTCCAGAGGATAAAGGCAAAATCGTTTGAAGAACAAGAAATCCGAACAGAAAGGTGTGTACGTCCATTTTTGTGAATGTCTTAGACAACATCATGTAAGGTTGAGAGTATGTCGTGTTTCAGTTAATAACGATATCTTGTTACACAAGTTTACATTATTAACCAACATGACGTGACAATTAAAATTCACCACAAAAACATTCAACCAGTGATTGTCGATCATGTGATGACAATAAGTACCTTCCCCGTACCGGTTAATAATTTCCACTGATCCTCTATGGTAAGTAAATACCTGCTGTTTAGGACATGACCTTAATACTATTCTTTGTATTGACTAGAATGCAGGCATTGTCAGATTACAAATATTTGATTAACGATATTATGAAAAAAAAACAATCTGAGAAAAATTCCATTTTTTAATATTATTTGCTATTTTCGTATCTTAAATTACACTTAAATATGTAACAACGAGGTTTGCTTTTAAATTTGTATTTCTTATATATGAATACAAAGGTGAAGCTGACAATACATTACAACTAATTAATATATAACATCGTAGATATCATTACAGAGTTAGTGAGGCACTGCGACATAGAAAAGCTATTTAGGCAAAATGAACGGTGACTGAAATAGGGACATTAATTGGCGTATAACATGTTGCTTGGTGACGAGTCCCAGACATCGGTCACGTGACATCGTCACGTCGCATGCCTACCGGTATTTACACATGTATGAAATACATTGGGAATTATTTCCATGTTTCCAGTTTTTGTATTAAATGATAATATATTTTCTTAATTACGTGTGTGTTGTCCAATAATCTAGAACTTTGTGCTCTATATAAATGCAATTGACTTTTAAATGTTCTGTGCTGAACATGTCTGTATTTTATTCATATATAACATTTTACAACATATATTAAAATCTGATTGATATAATTTAGATAATCTTCTATGCGTTTTAAAGAAAATATAAGCATCGATTTTTAATGTAAGTATAAATTTGTATTCATAAAAAAGACATGTAAATTAGATGAACTTTAAACCGAAATTTGAACGTTCCATTAAATTGCCGAATGTGCTTGCCGCAAATTTATTAGTTATAAATTTTACTAGGCCAGGACGTCGGACAAGGTTTATGTCAATCAAGGTAAAACTCAAACTTATAGTTTTTTTCTCACAAAAATCATTTTGTGAGCTTAATACCGCATTGGGTCATAATCTGTAATATACATGTAGGATCTATTTAATTGATCATCGTCGTTGTTTGAATCATTGAAAAATTGTATTTAAAGATTCTGAATAACCTTTATAATCTTAAATCATTTAAGACTGGACAAAGCAATTGCCAAATAGTTAATTAATATTCAGTTCTCACGGATAAGTGAAAATGTTTACACTTGAACAGTTCATAAGTTCGGACGTAATGGCATTTTCCCCCTTTAGTTACTAAAACCAGAACGGCATGTCTCCAAATACAGTACACAATAACCTCCGAGGTCAATGCATGATTGACAGGTACAAGTAAAACACACACCTTCCAAGGCATCTACAAATAACTGCAATGTCATATGACCGGGTTCCTAAGTGAAGCCGGAATACTGATCTTACCTAATTAGAATTAAACTAAACACCATGTTGATTTAACTATGTTATCTACGATATGATTTCTTTGTCATTGTTATTAGTCATAGTGGTGTGTTTTATGTTGATATTTCAACTGTCTCATTTGTATGACTAATTTCTAACCCTATACATGTATGTATCATAAAGAATATGATGAAAAAAATATGTATATATATATAAAAAATACGTATCTTGTCTTATATAATTATCAAAAGTACAATAAAAGTCAGGGAAGAAACGGAAACAGCTTAGTTGTCTAGACAGGTTATAGTGTGAGTGGGAGAGGGACGGGGGTTAGGGGGGGGGGTTGTTAAACCAGTAACTACTTCTGATATATCTTTTTCAGCTTTACCTCAGCTAAATAAACATTACGATATACGGTTTTACATTTCACTGTTCAATGTTTGGCTGAAGTAAATGGTTTGGAGAAAGTCCTGTGTTCTGAAAACTTGGTCAAAAATGTTTTTCTGTATTATCATTGTTAGTCAGAAACAAGGAAATGCAGTATCACTTTTGTAACCTTGTCACTTGATAAGCCATCGTTGTCGTCGTTTGTATTTGTTGATAACACATATATCATCAGTAAATTGTAAATGTCTTCAAATGATAACCAGCACGTGCCGTTAATTGTGACGTAATTGTTCAACAATATGAAATATATATAAACCGCGCCGTCCCGTGTCATCAAATTCAAACGTAAATTTCAACTTGATGTAACAGAAATAACGACATTTAATGTCTACACATCGTGAACATTTTATCATAAAAAATCTAAACAGCAGTGTGTTTTAATCATAAAGAATGCTTCCTGCTTCAGAGCTCTAATTTACCTACGGTTTAAACAAAAATACCTGGATAATGAAGTCATGCGCTTCGAAACATGAGTCTTAATTTTTCAACTTTTCAGTAAAATCTCTATAAATCTTTCTTTAGGTCAGATGATCTCCTGGTTTCATCGATTTTGAATTTTGAATTTTTTTTAGCATGTCTGTATATTCTTGTTATAATTCTGTCGGTAGTTATCTGAATTGACGAACACTTTGTTATAATCGGTCTTCTAGACTAATGTTACAATGCTTTGTATATTATTTAATACAAGACAACATAGAGATTACAGACATCTTAATTCTGTGACTTACAAATGATATACGGGTATCAGAAGGGAAGTTGTTTGCTTGTTTCAACACCTTTTCACCTTCATAGTTATGGTCACATTGGTGCAGGGTCCTGAAAGGAAGACCCGTCTAATGTCATTTGCACACATTACGGTAAATTAGCGTTTCCTAGGAAACAAACACGATATCACGGATCGTTTCTCGACTTCATGAAAAAATAAATAAACCACCGCACGTAAGAAGCGTGAAACCACTCTCCGAAAATCCTAAACGAGTTTCGCCAAAACCATATTTCTAAGTGTGTGGTGCTGTTCTCTCTTTCTCATATTTTCTATGAATGAAAATATAGTTTTGTACAAGAATTATATAACAATTGTAACGAATTAAATAAAAAAAATTGTTCACATTTACATAACAAGTTATATTCGGTCAGTGTTTTAAAGGTTTTTAAAATCTCTTCAACTATATTCGAATCAACGATAGAAAGACAATAGATTTTGAGGCAAAATATATGTACGAGTTACGTCCCTTGTCCTGATTGCTCGCATAAAATACTTGTGTTCTAAAATAAATGTATTGTTTTACATTTGAATATCATCTGAAAGTTTGAAGATCGCGTGAATGAAACGATACATTTACTTGTATTTTTATAGACAAATAAAACAATGCCGATATGTGTTTAACCTATGGAAGTAGGGCGAAATATTGACAAAACATGTTACCCTTGAAAGAAATACAAAAAAATTGGGATCAGACTTTGTGGGAAGTTAAAGGTATTCGACTTTATGGACAAACCCGAGATAATGTTTCATATGATAGCTCAATAACGCTGGAATCATAAAAAATAGGTATTATATGGATATATCACAGTCTACTGAAAGTATAAACACATTCATTATTTGTCTTCACCTCGCATATGAATGTCACCCGAAAATGACTAATGTGTCAATATGATGTTCAGCAGTTCTTAAAACAAAAATGAGCTGAATGGTCGTCATTTTCAGTAAATTAGAAAATAGAGTTTTCTTGTGTAAATCTTGGTCAAACCAAGTAGGCATTATCAGATATGAAATAAAACCAGCCAAAAACACAAGTCATAAGAATTAACAAGGAGCACATTGTCCAATGAAATAAAACCAGCCCGATTAGTTGAGTTTAAAACATTTTTAGAGGCCTCATCAGCCTGTATCTCTCGATTCCATTTTTGGTAAGTTTATCTGTAAGTTGTCGATATATTTACCTAAATCATGACAGTAAAATGAGTCACTTGAATATCACCCGCGACATATAAACATCATATGTTGGGGATACATGCACTGTAAATATCACTTAATGTAATGACATCATCACAGAGAAATAACGGCTTAAAATTCAGAGTAGTCCTACTCGACGGTTAGCACAGATAATACAGAAGTTATTATATATAAATACATCAGACAATTATGTATATTAATCTCTAAAATCGTGATTTGTATCTATATATGTATATTGTTTAATCGTTTGTAGGTCATTATCAGTACATCCTTTAAACTAGGTATTATACGAGGGGTTCAGAATGATGTCGTCCGTGCAGCGGTTTATAGAGATGTTGTCCGGTCAGCGGTTTATAGAGATGTTGTCCGGTCAGCGGTTTATAGAGATGTCGTCCGGTCAGCGGTTTATAGAGATGTTGTCCGGTCAGCGGTTTACAGTGATGTCGTCCGGTCAGCGGTTTATAGAGATGTCGTCCGGTCAGCGGTTTATAGAGATGTTGTCCGGTCAGCGGTTTACAGGGATGTCGTCCGGTCAGCGGTTTATAGAGATGTCGTCCGGTCAGCGGTTTATAGAGATGTTGTCCGGTCAGCGGTTTACAGGGATGCCGTCTTGACAGCGGTTTACAGGGATGCCGTCTTGACAGCGGTTTATAGGGATGTCGTCCGGGCAGCGGTTTACAGGGATGTTGTCTGAACAGCGGTTTATAGGGATGTCGTCTGGACAGCGGTTTACAGGGACGTTGTCCGGGCAACGGTTTGCAAGGATGTTGTCCGGGCAATGGTTTACAGGGATGTCGCCCGTGCAACGGTTTACATTGAAGTCGTCTGGGCAACGGTTTACAGAAGTGTCGTCCGGACAGTGGTTTATAGGGATGTCGTCCGGACACCGGTTTACAGGGATGTCGTCCGGACAGTGGTTTATAGGGATGTCGTCCGGACAGTGGTTTATATGGATGTCGTCCGGGCAGCGGTTTACAGGGATGTCGTCCGGACAGTGATTTATAGGGATGTCGTCCGGACAGTGGTTTATAGGGATGTCGTCCGGACAGTGGTTTATAGGGATGTCGTCCGGGCAGCGGTTTACAGGGATGTCGTCCGGACA